ATCTGTTTTGTCCCCAGAAGAATTGTAACCATTGAGAACAACGAGTACATTTCACAAAACTATTGCAAGGAAAAATATGAGAAAACATTCATTCAAATATCTAACTACTTGAACATTGATATAATTTTGCTACTAGTCAATTTTCGTTGATTGAAATTTCTATGATCAGTCACTTTTTTAAGATAAAAATGTCTTTCGTTGCTTCTATCCACGTTTAATCCATATTTTTCAGATCCTTATAAGCAAACTCCATTAGTAGACTGGATTTATTAATATGACATTGTGTCCTTCTATGACTTAAAAATGTATGTATTTTTTATTCATCAAAAGAAATTGAACTATATCGATTGTCGCATTAAAAAACCCAGCTGACGTCTTTCTGGAATCAGACCGGTACTGGACTTTTCATAATTAATTTTATCAAATATTTATTTTGAATCGCATTAATTCTTCACTCTGGTGCTAGTCAAAACGGAACTATTTTTATTTATGTGCTGATAAGGTTTAAAGTGGTTGTATGTGTCGAAAAGTGATATTAACAAACAAACGTTTGATTAACAATTATTTGCATTGGTTTATAGCATCTCAGTGATGTGCAGAAAATATCACACATGGAATCATACCTGTAACCATTAGATTTCAATATAATTGTCTAGATGATGATTATTTGGTGGTCCACGCTTAACACTTCACAGTATAGAGTACTTCACATCAAATGTTTTTAGCTGTTACTTATGAGACCGGTATTTCAGAACTAGAAGAAAAACTGTAATGTTTCTAAGTTGATTATTTCGTAAAGTTTGGTCATAAAGTAAATTGTTATGTATAAAAGTGTTCTAATATAATAGTTTCATGGAAACTAGATAGATGAACCTCATGCATTCTTGTAAATTAAGGTAATTAAAAATGATATCAAACAAGCTTGTAACATTCAAAAATCTATCTTTTATTTTTAAAAATGGATATTAATACAACAATAAGACATTAAATAAGAAAGATTAGTTCAGTGAAGTGTTCTCTTTTCGGTGAACCCATTGTACAGCTTATAAATTGAATTCGCCGTGAAGAGAACTCTTCAGTGAACTGATCTTTCTCAATTAATACAACACGTGATATAATTTTTAAAATCAATTTATTTCTCTACCTTGATGAATAATTAACTTTTATTGAGTATAAATTCATATAATTACATTTATACAGTTTGTTTGCTATCTTTTTCTAGTTTTTTTACAAGGAAATAATAAAAGGAACACTCGCTAAGCTGAATGATTGAATATCCGGCTACAATAGAGAGAATCATTTTATTCAACTAGAAATATAAAATTTTATCGATGAGTCTACTTTTATAATTTTGTAAATAATTTTGATTAAATGTTATCGATTTGAGTATTTTGACACTTCATATCAATGTATTAAAAGTGAACTACAGATATTTAACACAGAAGAGTCGAAATAGTGATAATAATTGCGATTGAAAATGAACATAGAGATCATAGTTCAAAAGGCATGAACAATGTTGAGAATCGAAATGTTTAGACTTATTCAATGCTCAAGCTTTCTGATGAAAATTAATAATGTGATTGTATTTGAACTACCACAGGCACTTTTCAGCGTTATCGGTTGTAGACTCTAAGTATATATTAGGATCATCTAGTGAATTGCAATACTTCTTTACAGAGCTCAATCCAACACTGATTAATTTAATAGATTGATATAGTTTTATAGTTTCCCTGCTTGTATGTTTTTATGCACTTAACACAATCATTAATAATCATAATAACTGACATTGTTTTTTTATTAAGTCTTTCAAGCACGGTTTTAATGTTCTGCACTCGTTTTATATAGTGAATTTTCTAGTTTATGCTAATTAATAAGAAGGAAATTATATTTGTTAATATCATATTAATACAAATAAAAATATTGGAAGAACATCAAGTTAAATGTTTATTTACTACTTATGTAATCGTATACACTTTAAAATCAATAGTTTCTAAAAATTTTCTCATAGGATTTGCAGTTAAAGTGACTGAGACTAGGAGGAATGTTAAATGAAAACTTAACACCTAAAATACTTTAGAACATATCAATGTTTGCTAATTTAAAGTTATTTGCGCGCGTGTGTGTGTGTTGCTTCATCAGCTGAATCAGAATCAATCAATTTGTCTAGTATTTTTTATACATGAAGTATACAATTTTTTTTATTAAAAAAAAGAAATTTCATAAATATGTCAAGATGACTAATTATAGTTTTGAGAGACACATAGTTACAATTAACTCCCTTGGTTACAAATCAACTTACTGTTTATTACTAATTCAAAAAAAAAAAGAATTAATTTTTACTGTTTGTCATAAATGCTTAATTGTATGCTGCTTTTGTATCACGTGATATATTGGATTAAAATAATGAAAAAAATTTAACTATTTACTTAAGATATTTTACACCATGCAACTTAACTCTAGATCGACTTTTATAATTAATCAATCAAATGATTGTTAGAATACAATTTTAAGAGAAAAAGAAATATGAGCTACGAAATGAAGTTGTTTATTAGAAAGAAGATAGTATATTGTCAGTTGATTAAATAAGCATGTATAAATTAAATTAAATGTTTTGACATATGATGAAATTAATTTTATTGGTTCTGAAAATCTATACGATAATCTACGTAGATATGTTCACGATATTCTTTTATATGATTTACAAGGGTAAATAATAAAGCTGAATTCACTTACGTTAAAATAAGTAACGACTTAATAAATGTGATATTTATAATTAAAACGGGATCGTATTACATTTTGTTTTAACCGTTAAAGTTTTTTGTTTATAAAATGAAGTATTAAAACTTAACATTTTGGATAAAAGTTAACATTTATGGAGTTGCAAATATATCTTGCTTATGAATTTTAAGCAGTAATTGTGTGCACAAATGATAGTTTTAGAGTATTATAGGAGAGTGGTTTAAATATCGAATAAATTTTTACGGAGTGATGATATAGTGGAAGCGATAAATCAGTCAGGTGTAATGATCTACTTTTATAAAGAGAACGAGATTGGTGTAATGGAAACATTTATTAGTATAGCTAACTGTACCAGTAATTGTTTTACTGTACCTTTTTGTTTAATTGTGTCAAAAAAACACTTTTTCCGTTGGTTTTGACCTTAAACTTACGCAAGTGTGCACGGTAGTCTCGCCTGTAAACTTTGGCACGATCTCGGTATTATTTCGATACCACGAGATCATCAACAAATATATCCTAACTACAATCTACAACTATCCTCTTAATATATATCCTACGGAGGGATTTTACCTGATAAGTGGCTTGTAATCGATTTGTAGTGGTGATCATAGTCAACTGCGGCTCGACACTACTACACAGGTATGTTATCTAATTTTATAGAATGATGATATGTCATATATTCCTTGAAAATCGAAATGTTAGACGAGAATTCGACTATCAGTGTAGAGATGAACTGAATACATTACAACGTTTAGAATAATATTAATTATACAATTTTCGTTCATAAATGCTATAATTTACTGTGAAATATGATAAAGAAATAATGTTACTGATTCATAGTTTAAAGTTCTATTATTTTATAAGGTAAGCTTGGTTTTGTATTGAAATTGTCATAATCATTTATTTTTTAGATGATCTTTGGATATCACTTGCACAAATATAGAATACGTTTAAATGCTGGTTGAATCATTAGTTTTTTTTGGAATAACTATACAAGCTCACTTATGCTATATAAACTGTGTAGGATTTCAGTAGTACATATTCTATACAGCACAACAGCTTTTTACCTTATATTAAAATAGATGGACCTGAAACATAGATATCTGCATACTTAAACTACTTGAGTTTACGAGTTTTTTTATAAACTAAAAACGTCACCTTCTTTACCACAGACGATAAGTTTGTGAATAAGAAAGGCAAAGTTTCTAGATTAAAATTGATGATTTAATGTCCCCTCTAAAAATGTAGTATTTTTTTAAAGGGTGGTTAAACTTATTATATCTTTCATTACACATTTTTGAGAAGCATAAAATTCTAAAAGTTGAGAGCGATGCAGTTATTCATATGGTGGGTCAATGAATGTTAAAACGAACTTATTGGGAATATAAAATATTGAAAAATGACTCAGTAGCTGATTAATATGATTCCTATTGTTACATATAAATATCCAAATTTATATGCCATATGGAGGTTTGATTGTACATTACTGGATTAAAAATCAGTTTAGCAAGTTGATAAGACTAGATTTGTTATGTTACTGTCATACCCCGATGGTTAATTGTTTATCTCAGATGTTTTTATTAACTAGAGATAAATTAATTTTCGTACTATTTTCTGGCATAACAGATACCTAGACGAATTTGAGACCAGGAGATATTTTGTCATTGGGATTATTAGGATTGTAAATGATCTGTGTTTATGATGCTGAAGAGCTAACTTTCATCATACTATTTTCATAATTTTTTATGTATGAAATTATACAATAATGATAAGAATGTATTTCAAATAATTCCATACATATGTTTTCATCGTTATTTGCTCGATGGTCCTGAGATGGATATCCAATTGATTATTCATTCTTACTAATAAAAAAGTATGGGGAATTAAAGAGATTTTTGACTGTTTTAAATGTTCAGATGACAAGACTGTTCAATGTAGTTTAAATACGGAGATAAGTGAAATGTAACAAAGGTTATTAAAGATTACAGTGAATTTCTAAAGGTTTTTGTTTCTTATTAGTCAAGGAGGAGTTGTATTAAACTTAATTTTCAAAAAAACCTAATAACCTTATTTCATATGTACTGGCAATATTAAATTTTATTATCAAAAGAGAAATATATGCTCCCAGTTCTCACCTACTAGATACTTTTCTGGTTGAGTACAATATTTCAGAATTATGTAGCTAATTTTCTTGATAATCTCAAAATATGAGTGAAGTATGATATGCATAAATGTATATATTCAAATATGAGAAAACTTACCCAACTAGAAAAATCCCAAAACATCCCGCCCATGTTAATATTCCTATTTTGTAGGTCACAAGAGTTGTAACATCTTTATGACAGTATGGACACACGGTATTTACTGGATCTGGTCCGGGAATAAAATGTGAATCGGTGATTATCGGACAAGGCTGTTCCACAACTACCGTATCTGAAAAAGGTTTAAAATTTGTTCATTTTGATTACTGAGTGGATAAGGTAAATAACTGATTGTCATAAATATAAAGTTTGCTTCTTGATGAGTTTTGTACAAGCGATATCTGAGAAAAATGAACTCAATATGTTTGCATTTTATTTAGAAGGAAAAGTTTTTGGGGAAGTATTATCAAGTGACGAATTATGAACAAGGAACCAATAATTGTCTTTCTTGGTTCTATAGTAAAATACTGGGAACTGTAAAAAATAGAGATCGATGGTTAGAAACATTGATGTGTTTAGCAGGATATTTTAACTGAAAATAGTAAATCACAGTGGTTATTTTTGCTCTATTGTCTTTAGTTCATATGATAGAATTTCTACAAAAGATCAAATCTACCAATTCATCGGTGAAAAAACATGATTTATTTTGGTAAAGTTTGATAACAGACACGTAACTGAAACATTGGTTTTAGCGTTTCTGTCAAAATTCTTATTTTTATCTTGAGGAGATTGACCGTATTTATACTCACAAAGTAATTTATAGTCCAGTATAAAATCGTTAGTACAGTAATGTAGTGAAACCCAAAAACTGCTAATAATTTCTTATTTGATTGTACAAGTGTTTATTTCAAGGTGCAGAAGTTGTATATGAGCAAAAGGCTTATATGTTGTAGAATGCTGAAGTGTAAACTGATCCCATAATGAATTTCATATTTGTACATATAACTGCCGATTAGTACTGTATCTTGAGTGTGATAAAGAACACTAATTGTTAGATAGAACAGAAATGATTAAAAAATGTTGTCAGTAGTTATAGCGAACAGGAAAATAATTTGAAAATAATAGTCACATTAAACTGAAGTCAAATGTAAAAGCATGAGAAAACAGTTACTAGTCTACTTTAAAAAGGAGTGATATTTTTGGAACGCGTTTGAAAAAATCAGCCCTTATCATTCTTTAGTCATGCATTACTTATGAAAAGTCAGCACAAAATATTCCCTATAACTGCGGTCACTTGTATATATAATCAAGCCATTATTTCCTAGAGAATTAAGTCTGATTTTAGGCATCTAAGCAAACATCATTTTGATGTAATTCATCCTCTATCTTTTGTTTCACTTTACTGGCAACATATGGGTATATTAAATCCGAGAATTGAATGAGCAATACAAGTTTGACTTATGAACGAGACCTATCATTTTGTAAATTTTATTTATTTATCGATTTAAATACATAAATAATGGTAAAATCAGACACACCATGAACAGAAGCAAAGCAAAACTCTAGAAACTGAGCAGACTACTCTATGAATATAAATAAAATTTCACTATTTTTACGTTGTGTCATGAGGAGTCAACAAAAACCTTAAAACGGTATGACGAAGCTATTGTTTTTTCTAGTCTGTGATTAGTTGAGTAAAGTTTGATACATATGTTTATAGATTAAGGTCTTAAAACCAAATTAGCACAGAAATATTGAGTTATAAGGCGATTCTTAGGACAAAAAAATGATAATTTCAGTGTTATTACAAAAGAATAGGCGTTAAAAATATTATTTAAGGAGAAAGAATGAATTAAGTGGGTAAAATAAATGGGACAATTCCTATATTCAACATCTAAAAGGAGACAAAGAATGGATGTTTTGTGTCATAAGTCATATCACGCGGCGCTTTCAACCGTTGGCCACGATAATTCCAAAAAGTATAGTATGGTAATCTACATAAAAAAACATGGCTTAGTCCAGGCATCATTGAATTAATAGAATGAAACCACATCTGACTGACTTGATCCGAGGATCATTAACTTTATTTAAACGTGCTCCTGAAATGACAAATGTCGAGTGTTATAGTAAGCAAAGGTTGATGGTAGGTAGTTCATGTCCTGACCGTTCCATTTAATAAAGGGTTATCGCTTCATCGACTAATTTTTCATGTCTACCTAGTGTTCTGCATCTAACATCAGTATTTTTAAACCAGCGGTTTTAACACACGCAAGCGATTCGCCCAACGTATGTATGATGAAATACAATTTTTTTGCGAATGAAGTATTCGCTTCATGGTTCTCAGAATCTACCAGGATATTCTATAAAGTTGCATTAAAATGCATTTGTTGGTCCCCACCCGTGTTATCGTTTACAGCGCTGGTAACTCACAAATATCCCGTACTCCCAAAGACCGTGTTTCATAGACAGACCAGAAAAAAGGATATTTTGCTCAGTGTAATAGTGTTTTGGTTATCAGACGGATATCTTCCCCATATCATAAATGTAATAAATTACTAGAAGCCAAATTCTTTGATTTAGTTCTGGAATTTAACCCAACACCTACTCACTGGGGTTGATGAGACTTCAAAGGCGATTTAAGTGAGGGACTTAGTGCTTTACCCTCTATTATTAGTCTATACCTAACTGAAAAAGTCCAATCTTACCGTTTTAATTAATCAGAAAAGAATTAAAGGAAGGTCGATTGACATGCGATCGATAGAAAAGCAGCTTGGTTAAGAAAAAGTTCAAATATATCGTACGGGTTTTCATCATATATTCAAGGTCATTACTTGTATTTAATGTGCACATATTGAGGTCTTCACCAAAAGACTCAGGTGTCTTTGATTTAATGAATCTACTCGTCATTTAAAACCAAACAGACGTTTTACTGGATAAAGTCTTGAAAATAAATATCACTTCATCTTGGAATTTTTTAAATTTTAAACTAAAACCTGATGAACTTTATATTGTAGCACTGATCTTCTAATAAGCTCCTCACAAAATATTTCACGAGACAGGATGATAAACGTTTTAGGTAAATAGGAAATCTAACCCAAGCAAGAAATTTGCCTGTTGTTTAAAAACCCATTCTCCAGTTCATAAATATCTAAGCCCGGAGATAAAATAAGTCATTTTGAATCTGATTGTTATTTCACCGAGAAAAAATTATCACCAGTTTGGAATATTAATTCTCCTGAAAATGTCCTTTATGTATTTACCATGCTTTTCTGTCACCTCAAAAAGAGCAAAATAATAAAAATTTTATGGGCACAAGCAACTTCATTGTTCCTCATACACTATAAAATCTGGCATTAGATATCTAGAAATTATGATCCACTTTGAGAGATTGCTAAATTTTATTTACTAATTAATAATTCTACGTTTTACAGTATTTACGAGACCATGAACTGTAAGCAAAGCTTGCGAAATGTAGATAAAAGATACTACCCTCTGTTCTTTATGTGGTGAATTTATTATTTCACCTTTGAGTAGCTTTCAAATCTTTGTTGACAAATGTGCTCTAAATATTTGAAATATCATATTGTTTATCTTGATGATACATAATCCATGGTTGGATGTCGCAAATTCAACACCACGATACTATAATTATGATACACAGAATGCAAACAAGATGGGAGATCACAGTGTTCTGGAGAAACAAATATGTTGATAGGAGGCATAGACTGATTAACTCAGGATTACCAAACTGATGATATATATGTAGAGAGTTGTATCACATAAACTGGTCGCGGATATATTCTTTGTACTTAAACAAGTGCCCTTACATCATATTAAAGCTCAAAAGATTGACGTTGATGCTAGATAGAACGAATCATTAAGGGCTTTGTGATCTGTCGTAACCACTCCGAAAAACGATAATGATAGTCAACAACAAAATTTGAACGAAAATGGCAACTATTACAATCTAACCATGATCGGTAAGTCTATTTAAATGAACCGAAGGTGAAAACTACGATATTTTCATGCCCATTGTGTTTTGATTTGGAATATTTAAGTGGCATTCATTTATATCGCTTACTGCTATAATTCTAAGGGTGAAATCTTAAGACTTTGATTATTGAAAGACGATCTCGAACTTTAAATATATTGTCAGAGACGTATATTGTACCACAATGATCAGAAACACGAAAAACAAGTTCAAGCAGTTTTTTGTAAGGCGGCTGTAACCCATTGGCGAACCAATCGGCGCGAAATCCATACATCAATATGACTAAATTGCATTTTGGCGATATATCTGATGTTGGTCCGCGATGAAACATCTAATTCCAGTTCTCTATATTATTTTACGGCTTTAAATTTTAGTCATGATTCCTCATACTAATTTATAACCCTATTTTATTCACATTATTTGGTTGAGATTTTTCAATGTCATTTCAATCCCTTAAAGAGGTAGTCCACAAATTATAGACTAGCCTGCATAAAACTTCGAAATATTTTTAAACTTAACTTGATCCAAATAGTACTGGATAGTCCAAACAAAAACAACTGTTCTTACCAGTATATTGGGGGGGAAATGGTTGCGGAAGGCCGTCCAAATCTGGAGACTTTGGATATGGTGGGTCTGCTTTGTCTTAATTCAGTTATATTTTGGTTGAATTTCGTCTTACCGGCACTCATTTTGAAAGACAGTTAATGGAAGTAGTTCAACTAGTTAACTCTCGCGATAGGTGATACGCTTTTTGAATTTCCAGAAGCCATGTGACCTTCTCCTGAGTGATTAAAAAATGTAGTGAACAATCATTTCAAGTGATTGTGTCAAAAACAGAGCTTTCGAACAATGTTTTTATGGTCTAGTAGCTGAAGGTCACTAGTGTCTCAGAAAAGACAGATATGTATAAATATGGTTTTAACAGGTCAGTGTTCTTCTTTTAACGGATGTTGCAGAGAGATCATTAGGAGACAATATGCTCCAAGATTTGATGATCAAGTAGAGGTACGCTCATTTTAAGGTCAAATAAGTATTATAATTGTCATTCAGTCACAACAGAATATCCCAGACAGAATATCCTAGTTATGGTGTGCATTGCTCCGATTTATGCTACGTCATTTCCGTTGTGTGTTTTTTGTAGCATGTTTAAAAATCAAACTGTTCCTCATAACTTGCCGCCGAAATGAAGATGTTGGCTTTTAAATTTCAAAGTTATAGGTCTTTAGGATGATATTTATAAAGAAAATATTCCGTAATATCTATGATCAGTGTAAGAGATCCGTGTTTGTTTTGTTTATACCACGGTATACACGTAAATAATTTTTGGTGTAGCAGATAAAAATGAATTCACGTCATGATCTACTTTTTCATTTGAAATGCTTACACATAGATACATTGATGCAAGTTAACAGTATTTTATGGGGTCGTTTAATGTAATATGATAGATAAGCTCTCGAATACCCAGTATTAACTTCAAGTCAAACAATAGCTTATATATTACTTGTTGAGAGTGTCCTTTTCTTTTAGAGAGTAATCACGTCCATCACTCTTAGTGCTTTTTAAATTCTCTTCTCAGTTCACGCAAGCCTACTTTGAGCAAATCGAAGAATTTTAACTAAATAAGTGTTTTGCTAATTCTTCTTAAGTGTTTGATGTGGCGACAGCGTTAGTTGTTGAGTTCTTCTTTTTGATCTGTATGTTGACAATTATCTAAGACTCATTTGTTTCTCCATTTAACAATATTTGTCGATCAAACATTCAGCATTTGATTGTTGTTAAAATTTCTCCTGGAATTTAATTTTCACCGGACTCAATGTTTCGGTGTTGAGCGGTTTAGGATTATCGTTCTCTAGCTATCTGCTGGACAGGATTATTACTACACTAGATTTTTGGAGACGGATGTTTAGCCCACTTTTCGTGAATATTCGATGATCGTTTTTAACGTTCGGGTAGGATGAAAGAAACTTGGCCTATTCCATGTTCATCATAGGGACGCTTATTTGGCGCCTGGTGCTTCATCAAGTAGTGTTATTATTGTTTCGATGCAACAAAAATACGTCAACTTAAAAGACATAATGTTATCATGAGTAGTCGTTTCACTAGGAAGCAAGAAGGTGGTTCGTTATAACACAGCTTACATGCATATATTTACTCATTCTTCTCAACAATATAGTATGTTTCATTTTACCTACGAGTGCTGAATTTGATGAATTTTTATAACTCACAATCTACATAGATTTTTTAACGATTATTCAGTATCACGCGAATGTTTTAGTGACTAGTATTTCTTCTTTGTATTTTGTCAAGGAACACTTTTCCTTAAGCTCTTTCGATAATTTTTTGCTAATTTGAACCCTTTGTTTGGTTCCTAAGCTATTCTGAAAACCCGCAAGCTAGAACTACGCAGCGACCTGAACACGAGAGAAAAGTCGCAAATTAAGAGAAGAGCACTTTACTCCGAAGGTTCATTCTTGTACAGAAAAACACGGGTATTTATAGACTATTAGCATTTGTCAAATCAACATTATACTTTGACCAATCTGCTAAGAGACATTATGCTGCTGACTAATAGTAGTATACTACGTTGATATTCTAAAAAACTCCCTCAAGCTCTGACTAGGTGAAGCTCTTCGGCTCCACTAGGTTCTCTGGAGTCTCCGTTGTAGTTCTCGGAAGCCGACTCAACATCTTTTAAAATTCTTAGTCTAAGCTTGTCAATTAATCAAGTAATATTGAAATGTGATACTAGAAAGCCAAATATGAATGTTTATAGGGTGAGCTCATTTTGGACGCCAACAGGAATCAGTTCATATTTATCAACTAATAATAATTATGTATAGACGTAGGTCAATGAGAGTATTTATATTAGGATTCTGTGTTTTTTCCTTGACGCCACAAAAGATATTCAGTTCGCAAACAAACATAGGGCACTTAGTTGAAGCACTGGATTTAATGCTAAGGTGTACGTGACAAAATACCAAATAAAATAAGACCAAGCTAAGAATAACTTATGAACTAATTAATTATCAAAGGTTCAGTTGGATGTTTAAGAGTATACAAAATTAGATCATTACAATACTATCAGTCAATAATGATATTATTATCCTGGTTTACTCCTAATAATAGTGAATATATATTTAGTGTGTACAAATGACTTATTAACAACCATTATGGTGCTCGAAATTTTATGTGAAACGGTAAGACGGTAATATAACTTAGTTTTCTAGTAGATACGTGATTAAATTTCAGGCTTAAGCCAAACCTGTAGATATCTTTGTTTGAATTACTGGTTACTCTCATCTAACACTTTAAGTCACCTGTGGAAAATTCTCGTCTTAACTTGTCAGCCTTTATCTACGGTGTAAATGTTCAACCATCCTGTCAGCCCGAGGATGATATGTTCAAAATGGTTCAAATGGTTGTGGACGGAATAGAAGAAGCTTTCGCTTAACAGGCTTCCGTGTCTAGGAGCAGGGGATCACCAAATCCTCCAGGCAGGAACCTAGGTATGTTAACAATAAAAAAGGAAAAGAAATTGGTAAATCATAGTATGATACTCTCCTTGGTCCTTAAGAATAGGTCAAGTTGCCTCTTGAAGGACTCCTGAGAAGTCACTTGGACTAGCTCGGCCGGCAGCGAATTCCAGCTTTTGACAACTCTTAAGGAGTAGAAGTTGTGTCTACATCCCGTCTTGCTATGTTGAGTTTCCAGTTTCTGGGTGTTACCCCTTAGGTTAGTATTCGAACTAAGCTTGAGTAGGTGTTTAAGAGGATGTCCAGAAGTGTTAAGAATACTATAAGCCATTAATAAATCACCTCTAAGACGCCTATACTCTAATGGGTAAAGGTCTAGTGAATGGAGGCGTTCTTCGTAAGGCTTAGATTTGAGTCCGCGAACTGATTTCGTGGTTCGCCGTTGGATACGCTGCAAAGTGACCTTGTCCTTTTGGAGTGAGGGGGGGGGAGTACTATATTTCCGTACTCTAAATGGGAACGGATAAAACTATTGAAGATTATATGGAAAGTTCTTCCGTCAAACTGGCCAAAAATGCGCTTCAATGTTACCAGTGCAAGGTTTGCTCGGAAGGCATTTTTGTCACAATTAGCTTAAGACTTTAAATCATGGGGCGCTAGGACTCCTAAATCTGTGCAACATATTCTGTTAGAGACTGAGAGTTTAGCTCAAATCCGAATCGAGTTTCTCCATCAGTTGTTATTGTAAAAGATGTGCCAAAAATTATCATATAGTTTTGAAGGAAAGCTCTGGTCGCTGTTTCGAATGTGTTGTTGGTTGTCAGTGTGGCTATTGTAAGCCTTGTGAGTCTCTGTTTGCATGTAAGTAGATAATTAGAACTATAAGAGCGTGATAAAAGACCTACCTTCTCCATATGAACATGGACCAAACGTGAATCTGAATCTAAGAAAACTACGATGGGTGAATTTGTGTGACGGCTCACCTTTGATTGTTGATACGCCGAACACTAACGTACTTGTGTATATATTTTTGTAGATTTGGCCATATATCTAGCATTGATTAATATGATAGTAGTTTACACTCCAGGATGAGACAAGGTATGGAAGTTAATAAACAATTATTTTTCTTATATTTTATAGGATGAAGGGTAAAAACATCACCTCGGTCGTGTCATAGTCGATCAAACTACATAAAGTTGGTGATGATAGCTATCCTAGTTTGAGATTAGAGTTTTTTGCTGTACGTAGGTTATATGCATCTTGGTCCTACTTTAGGTTATCCCACGATGTTTCGAAATTTGCCTTGGATTGTTGCACTATGTTCATTTCTAGTGGAGATACTGCATCTGCCGCCTGACTGTTTTGACCTTTTACATACCGGATGGCATTGATGAACTATAATATATAGTTAGGGCATCGGACCTCTCGAGAAGAATATTTGTCAGCACTAGCTCTTAATGCATTGATTAGTCGTCTATGATCTGTACAAATTATGAATTCCCTGCTTTCCAGTATGTGTTGGAAATGTTTAACGGTTGTGTAGATTGGAGGAAGATCTCATCCGAATGTGGAACATTTCGTCTCTTCTGAAGCTAGTCGTTTTGAGAATAACTCAATAGGTTACCAGACGTTTCAATTTGTTGGTTAAAGGTTCCACCTTTTGCTTTTTTTAAATCACCAACCATCAAAATTAGTGGAGAATAGGAATTTGAATATGTCAACGTAGATGCCTGAGCCGGTTTATTCTTTGGCTGTTTAACAGTCGTGATAGCCACAGTAGTCGGCCTAAATTCTTTTGGTTTACCCTTAAGTGAACCTACAAGATGTTTAATCAAATGTTCTTAAATATGTACCAATCTACGATGAAAGTCAGCACTGCTCTCACGTGTTGTTCAGGTGATCTAAAATCCGGACTGACTAGTAACAACTCATAAATCTTTAAAGTGTTTGTGCCACATTATTCAGGCCGGATAGTATGCATACAAACTCGAACAGTTCAAAAGGTCTGTTACTGGATGCCTCTGGGATTTCTTCCTCATATGCTGGAATATTGTGATACTCCCTGATCAAGTCACTTGGTAACTATTTTCATATCTCCTTAGCCGTCTTAAAATCTTGTATACAAAGTATCCCGTACCTAACTGGTACTTTTTGAAGGTTGAGGGATCTGTAACACTCACACGATCAACAGCCGATTTCAATTTTCTTTGTAACCTTACGCAGGGGGATGTCCATCGATAATCAAACGGACGGATAACATCCAGCTATAGCACACAGTTGAATCCGTCTCCAGCGATTTTATTTTGATCTAGTGCTAATGTTCTGAGTTTAGCAAACATAGTTGAGATCTAAAGTTTGACCGTGTGACTTAACTTTTTTTTACTTTTAGCAGCCTGAGGGTTCAATCTGGTTGGG